CTTATTAGCTCATAATTTGTAGAGGTTTCAGTCCGTAATTGGCTGGCTCCAAGGCAGGAGGGCAGGTAGACAGGCATCACAGCAGAGAAATAGTTGATAGCAAGCAGAAGGTAAACATGCAACAAGGGATGACCACAGCTCTTTCTATCCCTTAAATCTTATCCAGGCTACTTAGGGCGAGTAACACTCACACCCTTAATCCTAGTGCCACTGATCCTAGCATTGCACTATGAATCAAGTCCAGCACTCTAGATCCAGCTACCTCTGAAAAAGCTCCACCTATGACCACATAAGGCTTTGGGGGGACATCTAGACACAGCCATAACAGTTTAGTTGGCAGGCAGGGCTTCTAGAATGACAAAACACCAAAAAGCAATGATAATACTGGATAAAATTTTCTTTTCTTTTTCTATTTTTACTAGTACATGTTTGCAGTGCCTAATGATTACCTTCCTTATGGGAAGTTAATATTTGTATGTAGCACATCTTAATTTTTTTTTCTTTCTCTCTTCTTCCCACCCTCCCCTCTCCTTCCACCTCTTGGTTCTTTTTCCATTTGTAAATGTTCCATAGCCCTGTTTCCTATTATCCAAAGACAATAATTTTGAAAACCAACCACAGTTGTGTGACAACAAATTAGAAAGATTTTTTTTTCCAAATTTTTTTTCAATCCAAGGTTACTGAGCCTTGGATAAAAACAATGGGATTTTGTGGTATCTTTGCCTGCAGATGCTGTTGAATATCCCCTTCCCTAGCTCCATTACAACCATTATTGTACCAGAATAGGTTTAGCTCTGAAAAACAGTAGCTTTGCTGCCAGGGGGAGCTGAGTTGATTTTAAGCACAGTGTGGAAAAACAAGATGCCTCTGGACATAGTTGTCAACTAGAAGGGAAAGTCATGTCACAGCCGATCTGAAATTATATTCTGATTGTGACTCACAACAGATCAGCAGAGTACAGATTATTAACAGGAAAATCCACAGAATTAGAAAGTCATAGTAGTCCTTATTTGGGAGATAGTGGATGGGCAACTGACCAGCCACACACGCCTGAGTGGACATGAGACCCACCTTCTGCATACATAAAAGAGACGTAAGGGAGCAGAAGATAAAAGATAGGTCAAGTTTTTAAGTTAGCTGAATTTGAGTGCTTTCCCCAATCCAAGCATAAACTCATAGGCAAAAGACAGACTCTCACTGACAACATATTTAGGTATAATATTTGACCAATTAATGGCTGACCACTAAGTTACTCTGACACAAAAGATGACCATCCCTCCTCCTCCAGGACACTAGGATTCAAAATAAAATCAATAATTTTTTTAAATATCTGAGCAGAAATATCAGTGGCCACACACCATAAAAGAGAGTGTTTATGCAGAATTAGTACAGGAAAGGCAGTAACAAGCAAGCAGTAATAAAAACAATCTTGGGAAAATTAAAGAAAGTGTTGTTACATTATCTAAAATGTCCAGCTTTCAGCAAAAAAATAATTATACATCATAAGAGAAATGTGGGTTATGATTATATTCAGGAAAAAGACAAGTGAATAAAAAAACTGCCTCTGAGGGAATACCAATGTTGGGTTTAACAGATAATGACTTCAAAGGAGATATTATAAATATGTTCAAAGAACTAGTGAAAATCACATTTTAAAAATAAAGGATGACAATAGTGATCCATAAAAATAGAAGCAATCATCAGGGATATAAATTATTTAGAATAATAAAGTGAAACATTTAGAGATTTAAAAAACTTAGAGGTAACATTTAGAGATAGAAGTAAAATATTTAGAGATGAAATGAAAATCTTACTGGTGCAAGAAGGAGATTCAACAGCAGATTTGAGATGGTAAAAGAAAGAATAGGCCAACTAAAGAAAAACAAAATTGAACAGAAAAAAAGAAATTTAAAAAAGTTACCTCAGAGACCTCGGCAAAACAATAAATATAAGTGTAGTGAAATCCCAGAAGATAAAGAGAAAATAATAGGAAAAACATTTTAATAATAGCTAAAATCTTTCCAAATCTGCTAAAAACATTTAGACCTGCAAGCAGCTCAAAAAACTCAAAATAAAATAGACCAAAAAACAGTCCATACTGGAAACATCATAATTAAACTGTAGAAAGCCAAAGACAATGAGAACATCTTGAAAGCAGCAAGAGAGAAATAACTCATCACTTGTAGGGACAAACTACCACAATCAAGAACTAATTTTTCATCAACAATGATGAAGTTCGGAAAGTAGTTGGAATAACATGCAAAATTCTGAGGAAAAAAGTAAACCAAGAACATATCCAGCAGGGCCAAGGATTTAGCTCAGCAGCATAGCACCTGCCTGGCAGGTACGAGGTCCTGAGTTCAATCCCCAGTACCAAAAAAAAAATAATAATAATCCAGCAAATCTGCCCTCCAAAAATGAAAGTAAAATGCTAACATGACCTGATCGAGATGTAAATAACCCAAAGAATCTACTAAAAACTCTTGAAATGAATTTACTAAATGATTTTATCAAGACCTCAGGATAAAAGACTAATGTTCAAAAGTCACCTGTAACCCTAAATACCAGCAATTAACATGTGAATGTCTTTTTTAAAATGCTATTTATAACTATTATAAATAATGAAGTATTTTGATATAAATATAACAAAATACCTATATAATCTGTACAAGGAAAATTTGAAAACAGTAAAAAAAGAATCAGGAAAAATATAAATAAATCAAAAATATATAAGTACATGGATTGGATGACTTAATAATGTTATAATCTGACTGTGAAACAGTTTGCTTACCTTTGAAATAGATGCATAATTTCTCAACAAAGCATTAGTAATACAAATCTTCAAACATATGAGAAAATTATATCATATAACCATGTAGGATTAATTCCACAAGTAAAAACTTGCTTAAGTAATTAAATTATTATATTAAAAGAATAAAAGACAAAAATGCATAATCATCTCAATAGACATAAAATTATTTGAAAAAATCATACTCAATCAGGATCAAAATCTATAAACAAACTAAAAATTTAAAGGACTTTCCACAAACTGATAAAGAATACCTATGAAAAATCTACAACTAATATACTTAATGATGAAAGACAGAATTTTTTCCCTTCATAGTGGCACAAGGCAAAGATGTTCGCTTTCATCATTTCTATTCAAACTTACAGTGAGCAGCTATAAATAAATTAGAAGAACTCACGTTGGAAAGGAGGAATTAAAACTATAACTTGCCTCACAAGCACAAGGTCCAGAGTTCAACCCCCGGTACAAAAAAATAACTATACTTGTAGGACAGGCGTGGTGGCACATGACTGTAATACCAGCACTCTGGGGGGCTGAGGCTAGAGGATTGCAAGTACAAACTAAGTCTGGGTGACTTATTGACTTAGCAAGATTCTGTATCAAAATTAAGTAGTCACTGGAGATGTATCTCAGTGCGGAGACCCTGGATTTAATCACTAGTACCCCCAAAAAATAAAAATTAAATTATATTGGTAAACAATATGACACAGCATGTGAAATACACTAAGAAATCCACATTCTTTTAAGAAAACACTAGAATTAATAAATTCATCAAGGTCAAATGACATAAGACAAATGTAAAAATATCAATAAAGTTTCTATATATCAGTAATTAACCACTAACATGTAAAATTAAGAAATTAAGAAATAAAATTTGCAAAACCCTGCAAAAGAAAAAAATAGGATTGCATTTAATAAGAGTACAAATCTTGCACAGTGAAAACTATAAAACTTTGCTGAGACAAATGAAAAGAGGTCAGTAAATGTAGAAGGAATACATATTCGTATGCAATATTGTCAAGGTAGCAATTCTCCTCAAATTAATCTACAGGTTCAAAGTAATCACTATCAAAATAAAAATGGGTGAGTTTCCACATTTTTGCAGAAATTGAAAGTCTGTTTTTAAAATCACTTTGAAAAAGAACAAAGTTGAAGGATTCATACTTTTAATTCAAACCTTACTATAATTGTACAGTAATCAAAATAATGTAAAACTGGAAAAAGAAAAGATATATAAATCAAAGAAACAGAATTGGGAGTCCAGAAGCAAATCCTTAACATTTATGGTTAATTGATCTTCAAGGGAGGTGCCAAGGCAATTCCATGGGGGGAAAATAGTCTTTTCAACAAATGGTGCTGAGATAATTGGATAGCCACATGGAAAAAGATGAATTTAGACCTTTACCTCATACTATCCATAAAATTAACTCAAAATGGATAATATATCTAAATATAACAGCTGAAATGATAAGGCTTTTAGAAGAATACATAGGAGAAAAATCTTTTTGTCCTTGATTCTAATCAAAGAGTTCTGAAATACAATACCCAGAGAATGATCCAAAAAAGTGATCAATTCAACACCATCAGAATTAAATCTTTTATGTTTCAAGAGAAACTGTTAAGAAAATTTAAAAATAATCCAATGGACTGGTAGAAAATATTTGTAAATATTTATCTGTTAAATGTCTTGTGTCTATAATTTATGAAGAATCCTTACAACTCAAAATGAAAGGTAACTAATAGAAAAAAGAGTTTAAAATACATATGGGTAGCTAATAAACTCTGTCCAATTTTATTAGCTTAAATATCACCCTATTCAAGTATTTCTTCTTCCAAGCTATTCATTTCTCATATCATTCATATCATTTGGTATTTACTGTACATCATGTATTGTTACTACCATTATATGTGTATGTGCTGAGTACTCAATCTATAGATTTGAAAAGATGACTAATGGTATTTTATAATTATTTGAAGAAGTAGTCCTGGTACAGAATATTGCACTATTGGCGGGTTTCCCTGGCCCGGCTAGAGCAGCCTGCGGGGCCAGGAGCGCCCTGACTGGGGCTGGAGCCTGCGGGCCGGGAGCCGCCGGACAGGGCTGGAGCGGCCGGAGGGGCGGATCCCCTAACTCCTACAAAATGGAGCTCTGAGCGCGCCTCGCAAGCCCCGACTAAGCACAGTACTCCGGTCACTGACCTCTGGAGAATTCCAGAGCTTGAGGAATCTTTCCACGCCAACTATAAAAGAAAAAGATGATTCCCTCACCTCTGCGTTCTTTCTGTAGGCTTGAGTCAAGAACTTTGAGTCATCTTGATAATACCAGATTGGAAGCCTAAAGCTTCGGAAAAAAAAAAGAGAGCAGAACTTTCAGGAAAACTGACTATCGACAACATGGCAGATGTGAAGTCAACGTTCCGAGAGGTTCTTCCAAAACAAGGCCAATTGTCTGTGGAAGATGTAACCACGATGGTGCTGTGTAAACCCAAACTTTTACCCTTAAAATCTATGACTCTGGAAAAACTGGAGAAAATGCAGCAAGCAGCACAAGATACCCTTCGCCAACAGGAAATGGCAGTAAAGAAAAACAGGAAAAAGCCTACTGACTAATAAACTTACTGCTTCAGAGCACCCTACCTTAAAAAAAAAAAAAAAAAAAAAAAAAAAAAAAAGAGAATATTGCACTATTTATTAAATAGTGATACTTAGGAATCAGAGGACTGTAGTAGAACCTTAATACAGCTTCTTTTATGGAAGACAAAATATAAATGCTTCTTAAAATCCCACCTATTTTATCCTTTCACATTTACAAACTGGAATTTTTAAAGTTTCCTTTGCCAGTTTTTCTTAGCATTAACAACTCTCCCTATCCCATCATTATTAACAGCTGGTCTTGTAATTTTACAACCAACTCAACTCTAAATTCTATCTTACCATCCCGAAGCTGCTGAGACTACCTTCAGTAAATTCATGACATCTTGAGATACAAAAGTTCAGTATCTCAGAGATAATATGACATCCTAGGAATTCTATTATTTGTGTGCCTAGGTATGTGGTCTATAAAATCAATGATTATTTCCCAGTCTGATCATTTTCAAAAGCAATTTTTAATCCAACAGTAAAAGATAATGCCTCCATGAACTGAGCACAAATAAAAACAAATGAGTTATCATTAATTATGTATCACATTACATACCAATTATTTGTGAATAAGCCGGGGAGTGTTATAATCTTATTAGTTTTCTCAAATTTTGTATGAGCTTGAGAAGTAGTCATCATTATGCCTATATTTAACACATTTCTATATAAATAGAAACTATAGGCTCCTTTATGTTTTACAAAACACATTTACATCTATCATTCTACTTTTGCCTTTGTGAAACAGATACCATTACATCTTTTATTTTTCCAAATGAGAAAACAAGTTCAGTCACTTCCCGTGTTTTTGTAAGTACTTATTACTATTAGTGAGAAAGACTAATTTTTAAATCAGAAGTAACAGTTAAGGTACCTAGCGTTGTCAGAAGAAATGAGAAGACAGTATAGGACAGAGAGGAAATCTTTAGGGTTCAAGTCTGAGTGCTACTAATCAACTACAATTCAGTCAAGTCAAAAACTTGTCTCAAGTTTTGTTATCACTGCCTTTTTTCCTGAGTCTTTTCATCAAAATTTGAACCAATATGTCTAAAACATAAACTAGGGTAGAAAAAAGTATGTAAAATGCCAATGTTGCGTTAAATAGGCATTAATTCTATGGCCTATTTTATATGTGTTTACAGCCATCAAGCTTCCTAAAACACTGTCTTCCCTAGGAAGCTGAAATAATTTGTACATTTGTCATTAAAAAGGCTAAAGGCTACTGCCATATATATGCTGCCTCCTGGTGGCAGACATGAGCAGGTGCTACAGAAGGCCAATGGAGCAAATACATAGCTAGGGTTGACCTACTCACTAACTAGTGTAACTGTGAAAGTCAGCTCCCTATTTATGGTTGCTGACTTTTACACTAAGCACTCCAAGATTGCCATTACATAATAATAGTGTTATATTTGGAATTATATTTATATTGGAGTATTATTAATTTAAGCAACGGAGAATTACACACACAATCTGATAGCATGATTTCCTTTGGCCAAAAAAATGGCCTCCAGGCACACAGATTTAGTTAGAACTATTGTCCAAGGAAAATACTAAAGAAGGTAGTATGTTACAGGCTAAATAGTTCATAAGCAACTCTCCTACTAAATGACTATGAGGCTGCACAAAAGTCTGGGTTTGATCTTCAGCTGTATCACTCATTTGACATAATTTATGAATCTTAATTTTCTCATAGGAAAAATGGAATTTGTCATGTCTATTTGCCTGAGTTACCTGATTTAGTGCTTTCTTTGTTTTGGGAAGAAATTGGCATAAGGCTAGCTAAAGAACCTCATTAATGATAACGTGATTTTTGTTTGGTTCTCAGGGGTTCTTTCAAGGGGAGAAGGTAGAGGTGGGATCAAATCCAGGTCCTTGTATACCAGTTTTTTTCTTAAACTCTGCCTTTTGCAAAAATTCTTTAAGTCCTAGATGTCTGATGAAATCTATGGTACCTAAACAAAACATTAGGGTTACTCCCTTTTCTACCACTATCTTCAACTCACTCTTAGGCCTAGCCCTGTTACAATCCTTTTAGAGAGGTGATGTCCTTTTACTCTTAAGTCAGGAACATAACCCGCAGGAGTCCTACACCATAAGGTCCATATGAGGAACATGGAGCTATAATAAGACCTATTTTATAGCATTTACCTTCAATTAATTATTGTCACCATACTGTCCAGCCTCCTTAACAATTAGTTGAGGTGAACATTATGCTTTTATCTATACATTGTACGTTTTAGACTTTACCACATATACCAAATATAGAAGCACTATAGACTTTTTAACGGGTGAATACATTTTATGAGATTTTTGTGAAGTACTGTATAAATCTATATTATCATTACTATCTCTAATAACTTCATAAAATATTGATGACATATTTGAGATACATTACCAATTAATTTGATTTGATTTGTACTTTCATCCACTCAAAATCATTTTAAAGTATCAATTGTGTTATGCACTTAATTATTTAGTAAATAGGTATTCTTGGGTCAAATAAGCATGTTTCCTTGCTCATACAGATTTGATCATATGGTAGGAGAAGTATACAGAAATAAAACAAGCAAACTAGTATGTGCATTGGTCCAGATAGGCTACCTTATAATGTGGTAATGAGCACTCCCAAAATCTCAATGATTTCACACAAGCAAAGCTTCTTTCCCACTTATGCAACTTGCTGAAGCAGGTCTTCAAGAAGGTCTATACATATTTGTCACACAGGGGCAACATGTGCCTCTTCTAAGCTTCATACAAGAGGGAACTGACTGCTAACAAATCCCATTGTAGACTTAAAATTTCTGCTTTTAAGTGGCTTGTAGCTTTTCTGCTTATATTTCATTGTGCAAAGCAAGTCACATGGTCACATCTAAATCCTAAAAGGTGAAGAAATGCAGCTCAACATGCTCAGATGGAAGAAAGTAAAATATATGCAGTGAATAGTTCTGATGATTGCCACAATTTAGTTTCACATGAACACAGTCCAGAGATAAAGAATGTAGCATTAGTATAAGGAGTATATGAAGATTCTCCTAGTTGAGACCTGAATGGATGAGAAGAATTCAGCTGAATCATGAACAGAAAAAGCATAAGTGAAAATAATTCTGATGCTGGAAAGAGTTAAACAATTACAAAGAATGGAAAGAGGGGTCAGTATGGTTTTAGGATGATAAGTAAAGAAGGAAGTTGAAAGAGGAGCTGGAATGAAATCTTTTAGGGCTTCACATGCCAGTGTAAGGTACAGTAAGTTAAGAGCTTAAATTAAGAAAGTTAAGAAAAATTCCCAGATATATTTTGGAGGTAGAAACAAAAGAAGATCCAGATAAAGTAATTCTAGAAGTTAAGAAAAAGCATGACTCAAGAATGACTCCTAGGTTTCTGCTCTGAGCCACTGAGTGGGAGGTGGTACCATTTACGAAGCTGATTAAGATGGGAAAAGGACAGGTTTTATTTGATTATTGTTTTGTTTGTTCATTTTGCTGGCTGACTGGTTACTGGGGGTGGCTGGATGAATGTTTAAGAATTTAATTTTTAAAAGTTAATTTTAAGAAACCTGTAAGAAATTCAAGTGCAGAACAAGCAGGCAGCTATACATTTAAGTCTGGACTCCACAGAAGATCTCCTGGATTAATTCATGTATTCAAAAGTGGCCTGCATATGAAGGATAATTAAAGCCAAGGAAATACATGATATCTCACCTAGGATGTAATGTAAGAAAGAGAAGAGGAGGGCCTGGGATTTAGCTCAGTGGTTTCGCTGCCTGCCTTCCCCGGTACCAAAAGAAAGAGAAGAGGATTTGGGTCAGAGCCCTAGAGAGCTCCAAAATCTAAAGGTCAATAGAAGCAAAGCTAGGAGAAGGGACTTAAAAGTAGCCAAGGCCAAAATGGTCTTGTCATGGAACTCAAGGGCATACTCTGTTTCGTTAGAAAAGGTTGACAAACTGTGTTGATTCTCTTGGGAAATCAAGTCAGATTAGGATACAAAGAATGGCCTTGGATTTTGATTTATCCATTCAGCAAAGGACAATTCTTACAGCTTTGATCTGACCAATTTTTGTTCCCCCCCGTGGACCAAAAACTGTTCTAGATACTCAGAATGTGGTAGCAAATAAGACAGCCATGTTTCTGCGTTTTTATAACCTACGTTCTTTTGGGGCATATAAGCCATAAACAAGTAGGTGAATAAACTATATAATTTGAAAGAGTGTAAGTACTATCAAGAAAGATAAAAGTTGTAAAGTATTATTGAGTCGAGTAATTTTAGTCTAGGAATAGAAAGGAGATATCAAAATGCTTGTAACATGCAATTATAATCAAAATCTATTTTTTCCTTGAGTTGAATGATAGCATATATGATATGTGAGCAGAGACAGTAGTGGGAGATCTGTTCATCAACCAGAAGTAAAAGTCAACATCTGCAATGATTATCAGACAATGCAAGAAAGAAAATGTTATTTATTCTAGACTCTGTCTCCCTCCCCATCCCAGATCAGCGGTTTCTAGACCTGCTTAAGAGGCCATACAACTCAGAGAATAACCTAGCAAATCCCTGGGGAAGAAATATTGTGATTAGGTAACTTGTATTATCTGCTTTGGCTAAGAACGTTGCAAAATTTTTCCAGTGATCACTAAGCATAAATACGTTTTCAGAAATCCCAAGTTCTACAAGTGACTCTCTTTCAGGTAAATCTGGCCTTCCTGGAACCATCTGTACATAGAAAAATGTTGGACATCAGTTATTTTAGGGACTAGACTACTACCTGGAAGCAGCTGGGGTTTAAAGACAAATATGTACCAATTATTCCCCTTGTTTTCTTTATAATTGCATTCTCTACCATCTGGTCTTAAGTAATTCTAAGTCTTTAAATTTCTTCATCTATTAAACGTGGACAACTAGAAATAATCTTTTCTGCCTTATCTCCTTACATGACTTTTGCCTTCTAGAGTAGATAACTGAAGTTTAATCAGTTTTTGTTTATATGACC